CTTCACCTTGTAGTTCAAAGAGAGAACTTGCATCTGTGGCTGTTTCAGAGGGTGCCTCTGTTATGGGCCTGAGATAAGACCTGTAACCTTTTAGTATTGAGGCCATGAAACACAGAAATGCTTCCTGGATCTCCAAATCTAACAGATGCAATTTCTTCCCAGAATTAAAATCATAGTCATTCATTGCCAATTCCATTAATGCATCTTCTCTTGGTCTCTGTTGCACTGTGAACAAACACAACATTAGAACGTTTCACATAACTTTTTTTCCAATATTGGTTAAAAAAAAATCCTCTTTATCCTACTAGATTCACTGATTAGTGAGCTCCATTAAGTTTGGAACAGATTAAAATATATGCAATTAAATTCAATCATGACATGCAACAATGGATTCGGATTGACCTTATACAACTAATGTATCTCTGGATAATACCAAAAGCAAGATACTTTCACCTTTTCCGCACACTAGTTACTACAGCAACAGAGAGAACAAGTATGGACAGAGCTTAAAAAAACCCACCAAACCTCAAAGAAAGTTGTTTATAAAAAAAAATATGTGAAAATTTATAGAAGAGCTGATTAAAGAAGCATATTTTAATGACAAAATAGATGGGATGTGTGTATTACTTTTTTTTTTTTTTTTTTTTACAGTGCCTTTCATTTCAAAGTGTTCCCAAAAAGTAGACTATACATATTAATACCTATATACACAGAAAAACATCACTTGGATGGAAAGTGGAGCCAACAAAACACAACATGATGCAAAATACTGATAAAGAGAGAAAGCAGGCATTTTTTAAAAGATCTAGCAAAATCCCTATTCTTAAAAGTAGATACTTGCATCAACATTTGAAAGCCATCAGAACTGTGGCTGACTTCACTGCTACACACACAAAGCATGGTAACATTCTAACATCGCCTCAAAAAAGTGAGAGGATGGTTTCATTACTGTCTTTCCACATAATATAATTATAGCCAATCTTATACTGATATCATGTTAAATTCTTTTACAGAGTAACTTGCTTAAAGATCAGTACCACTATTTTTATAGAGTGTAGAGAACATAAGGTTTAAAATTTTTTCTAAAGAAATCCTCACAGTAAAATATATCAAAATTTTGAAGCAACAGACAGTTTTTATCACCTATCAGCTATATACGGATACTATTGTGCAGCACACACCAATAAACTTCTGTTGCTGTACATTCTAATTGGGACATGATTAAATTCTAGTGACCTCAATAGCCAAGAAGGTGTAAACAGCCTTTAAAAAAAAAAAAAAGTGCCCTGAATCCAGGTGACAATTACAAAGATCTCGTGCAACGTGCTTTCCAGGTATGTATTTCTCAACCACGCAGTGTTGATCAACCCCATCCTTTTCATATTAAGTTGTAACTACTTGCTGTCTCTGCCACAGCAACTTGATTTTACAATTGCATTATTGCTCCTTAAGGCGCCCTCCAATGCCTATGGAAATCATCTTTTAAAGCAGACAGGTATGTCAGAGTGCTGACGGACTTCCTTCCCACTTCACAATGCCCATTAGCTGTGACGCCCAAGCACGTCAGCTGGCCTTGACTACATTTCTATTTCCAAATGTCTTAAAGAATCTCACTATTATCATTCCTATCCAATTTTCTGCTTTCTCACATGAAGGTTCAATATACCTTGCTCTGCAATATTAGAGGATACTACCAATTATTTTTTTTCTTAAAAATGTTCAGTAATTGCACAACACATTTAAGAACCCAGTGTTTATAAAACATTTGTTATTTCCGTTTTAAAATGTTTGGTACTTTCTTTCTTCAGTCTACCACATTCAAATATCCTCATGATAAACTTGCAGCTGCAAAAATCCTACTATAGCTTTTGGTTGTTCTTTGCACAATGAAGGCTAGGAAACAAATACGGTGTAAAATTATTTACATGAATAAAGCTACGCAGAATCAGAACAAAAAGTAGTATTGGCTTGAGTGTCAAAGTTATCTTGATTGTCAAGAGATCAGCAGACTTGAGCAGGCTTTGAAGACAAAACAAAGGTATTTATCAGGTCCTGGCCTACTCTGCTTTACTCTTACCTTCTCATATAAGCTGTGCATTTTTTTTGGTACAAGGATAACATAATACAAAAGGGATATCTACTAAGAACTGCCTTATATATATGGAAGTCTCCTCCACTCCAAAAGCCCCTAAATGGGTTCTAATCTCTGGACTTAAAGCACAGATTTTTCTGTTCTGTATGAAAACACTATGCTTAGTGTAATGAGTGACTTAAGGACATATTTAATCAGCTATATTTATCTGCTAATGTGGCACACTATATCCAATGTAAATCTTACTATGTACTTTCCCACTCACATTCTGCCAGTTGCTGATATAAATTACTTAAAGTGTTCATCAGATTTTTACAAGGCTTCTTTGGTAAGATCTTCCACGCAATAGCTTTCTTATCTCCAGTTCTGGAAAGAAAAAAAAAGTATGAGCATATACTGGAATATGTGTATATATAGGACGGTATTCAGATGATTTTTCTATCCCACCAGAGAAATGGGAGAACTTATACAGTTTACTTCACCAAAACAGGATTGGAAACCAACCAAAGTCAAACTTGATTTAGTATATGGAGAGTTGATCACAGCCATCCAACCAATGCCCTGTATTTCAGGATGATGATTATACAGCCCCACTCTTTAGCACTGAAATCAATCCACTTAGGACCCATGAAAGATGGATCAATAGTATTAAGCACCTGCCATTGCACAAGCAACCACCACACACGCCATTCTGACCTGTAAGTACTTAAACTAGGATGGAGATAATGACCAGAATGCTTGTAGTAACCTGGAATCAGTTTGATATAACTGCTTTGTGTTTAGTGCATATAGATTTGGACTTAAATATATCATTATAATGATGAAAAAAATTTACAACTTTGTCAACAGAGGGCACCAGCAAGCCTCAAGACCCTATTGGTGACAAAGTTGCAAAAATTGTAAGCAATCATTTGACACTTTTCTATACGATTAAATTCTAAGGAAATGCAAAGAAAATCAGCTAAAGAAGTAGAATGAAATAAATTATTTTCCATTAATATGTAAATAATTAGGCAAATACCAGAAGAAATGCACAAACATGTTCCTCTTAACCAAAAAGTAACAAAACCAAAATGGAAGTTATCACAGCCTAGTTTGAACTATTTCCTAAAAAATCTTTAGAGCAGAATTGCTATACAAATTTGGTATCAGCATAAAATCTTTAACAAAAATTTCTATTTGCAAATACTTAAGATACGTAACCTTCTCTAAATTCACACACAACTACTGAAGCAAAAATAAACCCAGAAATAAATTTAGAAAGAAAAAAGTTTTTAGTCAGGCACAGCAATGCTGAAAGACTGCTACCAACAGTAGGATGATACAAAAGAACACTGACCAAAGACTTCAAGAAGTAACATTAAATATATCCTGAGTATATTAAACATTATACTGAAACAAAAGTTCAATTCTGAAATACAAGTTTAATTAATTTTGTGTGGTTTAGAATCTTGAATTAGAAGCCGTACCCTCTTCTATTTTTGTATCACACAATCGCAAGGAAATAACTAATTCTTTCTTTTGAATATCATAACAATATGGACTGTTTCCCAGTGGTTTTAACAGTGCACTGCTATGTATGCCTTACTAGTATTTTAGACACTGGATAATTACTATTACACAAAAATGTAATAGTAATTATTACACAGTTCTGAAGGAGAAATATTATAATACTGTTAGTTCATTAATGATGGCATGACTCTAAGTCTTAATTAAGACTCTGTCATCCATGAAGTTCACCTCTCTTATTCTCAGCATGAAGTTCCTATACTTCATATTGATATGGAGTGTGATTTAATTGTTATCATCTTCAAGCAGATACCCATATGAAGATACCAGAATTTCTTCAACACTAAGAAAGCTGATCATAAAAAACAAAAATTACTATTCCCCTCCAGGGACAATGAAGTAAGACACAATACGGTTAATCCAGGAAACGTGCCAATGCACGCAATAAGATTTTAATGTAATGGAATAAAAGGCAATAATGTTCCATGAGGATTGTACCTCCACTCTGCTGTGTTGAACAGGAGATATCATTTCTAGCATCCTCATTTCAAGGAGGATGATATATTAGAAAGTTCAGAGGTTTAAAACAAACAAACCCCCCAAAGTTTTGCCAAAAAGCTAGCTTTTGCCTTTGAAATCAGGAAGCCAAAAAAAAAAAAACCCACAGAAGAAAAATTGTTAATAAATACTTACTGAGAAATTGTATTGGTATCTAGGTCAACACAGCTAACGTCTGGTGGAGGGTCATAGAGATCAAAGTATCTTGAATCAATTCCCACTATGAATGGGCATGGTGCACTTAACACATCTGCCAGTGCCAAGGGACAGAGAGGAATATACGGGCAAGGCCAGTGGAAGGGAAATATCATCTTTGAAAATATGCAGAGACAAAACCATAGGTTAAACATGTATAATAATATAGTCTATGCAAGTATAAACCACACTTCACTAACTGCCACTTCAAAATTATTTAACATGGCAGATAATTATTACTGAGAATCTACATGCAGATTATTAAATAAAAAATGCACTTATTTCTCTAAAATTCAATGTGTTTAATTTGTAGGAAAAAAGCTCTTTGGTATAATAGACCGTAAAATAGTAGAGGTAGCAAAACAACACTTAGTGAAGACAGGCAGGAAAATAATATACATTTAAAATTTTTCTGCAAGAGAGAATACAGTGCCATTTGGGAAAATCAGGAACTCATATTCAGTACATTGTGATGACCAAACAACACGCTTATTTACAATGTTTACAAACAAAGAACCAACAACAGTTACTCTCTCTCTTCTGTCTGTGGAATATCACTAACAACATGAATTTTTCTTTCTAGTGATCTTTACTCTTATTTTTAAGTAACCTTCAAGCCTAACAGCACTACTATTAATTTTAGATTTTTATCTAAAAAACATTCTTTTTCTTCCACTTACACGTGTATGATTAAAAGAACGTTACTTACAGAGACTAATGCCTCTGTCACACTAGTAAGGACAGAAGGTCGCAATGAATGGATGAGAATTTTATGTTCCGTCACAGCAAATACAAGTAGAGTTACTGCATTTTCAGGTCCTAAATTCTGAAGTAGTGTAGAAAACTTGCCCCCACTGTTACAGAATATAAACACACTGGTGAGTTACAAGGGACCATAAAAAAAAGAAACATTCAATAACAAAACAGAAAACAAGGCATTAAAGTAGGATTTTATAATGTAAATCTGCAAATCTTTCTTTTAAAGACTGCCAGGTAGACTACTCGGTACACTTCACTGTTCAGTGAAGAATGGTTACATCCCAATAGTAATCATGATTCCATGAGACTCTTCAATCAGTCTAGACTATTTTCAGGACACATGCATGATGATTTTTCTTTTTGAGAAGCAATTTACATGCGTTTCTTTAATTATTCTCCTGCACAGAGACATGAAAGTTAAGACAGTTGCAGAACTCCTTCAATTACCTTGCAATTCAAAAGCTGCATTATCTTGGCAGCCCAGGTACCAACTCCTAGAAAAGTGATCTAACAATCCATATTCTGCCTCAAGAACCACTAAAATTATTGGAAAAAACATATACATTGTTCCTTAAATATGTATCCTTGTCAGGGTGCAGCTCTAATCGCATAAATAAACTTCAGATATACTAGCTACACAAGGTACCAGACAAGGTAAGGTAATTTGCAGAATTACAACTCAAAGTACCAAATCTTTTCCGCAATGTAAATCAGGAAACATTTCACAATTAAAACAGAAGACATTGCTACTTGCCTCAATGGAAGGGGTGATGACACAGGTTGGCTAAGAATCAGGTTGTCATGTGGAGATAGCTGGAAAAATATTTTAAAATACATTCTTTTTATTCTGAACTTCAGAAATATTTATCAGATATTACACAACTATAACAAAGAACACCTAAAAATAAAATTTAAACTAAGCTGAATCTTATATAGCCCAGTTTTACAGCACTGTAAGAAATGGCATGCAATGCTATGCATCAGTATCTTTAATCAAAGAATGGTTTGGATTGGAAGGGACCTCCAAGAACATCTAGTTCCAACCCCCCTGCTGCAGGCAAGGACACCCTCCACTAGCCCAGGTTGTCCAAAGCCCCATCCAACCTGGCCTTGAACACTTCCAGGGATCCAGGGGCAGCCACAGCTTCTCTGGGCAACCTGCTCCAGTGCCTCACCACTCTAACAGTAAAGAATTTCTTCCCAATACCTTATCTAAATCTCCCCTCCTTCAGCTTAAGGTCATTCCCCCTTGTCCTGTCACTACATGCCCTTGTAAACAGTCCCTCTCCAGCATTTGCTTAAGTTTTAGTAAAAAACAGGCAAAGCACGATATTCCTTTCTTGGTCAGAATTGAATACATTGCATATTCATAAAGAGGAATTTAAAATAGCTAATACTGCAAAAAAATAAATATATTAACTGCTGAAAAACGAAGCCTTCTGTTTTTTGAAGGGAAGTGAGAACCCACAGTTCATACACAGCTTTCATGGGCCAGGGGGGATTCTTTCTGGATTTAGGGGGAAAGAGAGGGATAAAATGCATAAAGGGGAGAGATGGCAGATCATAATGTAAAGGAATATTTTATTTGGAAGACATGAGAAACAGCTCAGCCTAGCTTTGATAGAATCATTAAAATTTGCATTAGTTGAAGATCCAAGACAAAGATCTTATTAATTCACATTTCTTTCTTACAGTGGTAGGACATCAAGAGAAATCATTCATATATTCAGCATGAATGAGAGATTTCAAATGAGTATAAGAATACAGATACACAATCAATTTATCAAAGTTCAGCTGATGTTTTCAGCCATAGTAAATCCAAGGTAACAAGATACCAGTTAGCTTAATCCTCCCTGCTAGGAGGTCATGCATTTTCTATCTATTGGATAAAAGCACACATACAAGCAGCAGTGGTAATACTGTAAGTCACAGTAACTTGCACAACTAAGCTGCAAGTTCAGACAACTTTTAGTAACATTTTCTTTTTGAGTATGTTTCACCTTAGACCCCATTGCAGATGACGGGACAATATAAGTCAGAAGATCAGATGAATTAGTAATATAAATGCCAAAGAACTAAGTCCCCTAACACTATGCCTGGACAGACAGAGAAGGAAGGACACTAACAAGAGCCAATGCAGTAGCGCTTCTCTGCGTATTTCACATAACAGAGCTTTTGAAGGCTGATGCTACATTTAGCTTCAATGACAAATGAGGATGGCCACACCACTCTACACGCCAGATTTGTCTTCAAGTAAGTCACCTTGTGACAACAACCACCATTAGTTTGTTCAGTGAAAGAATTCAAAGAACTCATTTTTTCAGCCTGAGGTAACCTTCATAAACTACCCTCAGAAAGGAAGCATCAGCCTAATGTCCTAGGACTTTTGTGTTTCAACAAAAGCAGATAAACACAATCAAGCATCTATTCAAAAAGCCTGTCTCCCTTGGGCAGAAGGGGCACTTACTGCCCCCGTTCTTCAGAGGGAGAAGAATATTACTCTGTGTGCTCTGGAAGTTTGCAGGTTGTGAACACATCATTAGAACACAACAGATGTGTAATAAGGGGATGTAGGACATGGAGAATGGAGTCTAGCAGATTTCAAATCAGAGTGGCAATCAGGAACATTCCTGAATCTTTTACTAATGGCTGTAATTTCTTTGAAACATCATTTTGTAACAACTTGTTCAAAACCACAGGATTGGTAGAATTACTACAACCGGAATAGAGATGTCTCTTCTCAGCAATAAAATTTTAACATGTCTCTACCCATTTTGCCTCTTTGGAGGAAAAAAATATGAAGATTTAATAACACTTCACTCAAGAAGTCTTTGAGTTAGGGATTTCCTCTCTCCTACCAAGGGTGACATGGGTGAAATTTCACATAACGGGTAACCTAATCCTAGCAATTACACCATTTCACTCACACGCAGTAAAATATGCTAGGTCTTGCAGGCAGGACAGAATAAGGGTCAGATTTGATAAACTATGCCTCTGCTGAATGTGCGTGGCTCTTGAAGTTTTCAGTAAGAGCTATCCATTAATGCACAGGACAGATTGAAGCCCTTTGGGAAAATGGGTAATCATGAATATACTCTTCACATCTGGCTTTAATTTTATTTATTTTGCACACAGCCTTCATACAGTAGCAAGAAGAAAATGGTTCAAAAGCTATTGGAAAAAATCAAGCCAGATACCAACTTTGAGTAGTTTTTCATTCATTTCCGTATACGCTGGAAAAAAATAATTAAGTTCTAAGCTCACTAAACAGTATCTTGTAATATCTCATTAAAGTCCTTAACTAAACTGGAAACAACATTGAGAAATCCATAAAAAATTAAAATGAATTTAGGAAAAAAATCCTGAACAAAAAAAATTTGAACATAAAAATTACATTTTCCATTTATTAACCTGTTAAATAGCTGGTTTGTCTTCACTTAAGACATAGCTATTAAGAAGAAATTTACACTTACCTGAACTAGAATTCTTGGCCTCTGAGGGGATGGAAAAGGAACTTTATGCATGAAATGGGAAATGTGTCTAGAGGAAAAGAAAAATACCAACTTAGTAGAAATTATAAGCTTAAACTGCTTTACCTCAAGACAAAATTATTGCCAGTAAGAGAAATTATTATCTAAAAATGACACATACTTATTCAAAAGATAGAGCAAAAAAAACCCCAGCCCCCAAATCCTGCAGGGATATTCTGATCTTGAAAACCTATTTTTCTACTAGTTAAAATCAAAATGGCAGGCCAGATTATCTTTCAGACTACAAGCTTGGTTTGTGAGACTGAAAAATTACAAAGAGCTTTTTTTTTTTTTAAATAGATTTGTAAAGTAGAAATATCGATGTTTGAGTATCGCCATTTTACAATCATGCTTCTGAGATTGGCTTGAAATAGCACTATACCTCAGAGACTAGCACTGCTTATTTGCAAAAAAATATTCACAGCTGAGTATCAAGGAGAGTCATTAAGTTCATCCATTTTCTTCGCATCCATTTTCTTCACTTCCAAATAGAAAATGTTATGATGAAAAAAATGTTAAAGTTTTTCCATATACTACAAATACAAAAAAAGTTTTTAAAATTTTAAGAAGTTCTCAGTTCTATACTTTAAACTTACAAAAGTTTTAAAAGTGTAGGAGTTCCACATAATACACACTTTCACATGAAAAGATACTATATGCGATCAGTAGAAACTCAGGAAGAAACAGGTAATCCATCATAAACCGCATGCTACAGTACATACTTTATTGTGATTTCTGCAACTTTTACCTTTATTATGATGCAGACAACCACCAAGTTTTGAAGAAGTTCAGAGAAACCCACAAATAAGCATTGATTTATATAGAAGACTCGTTTTACATGTTTCTGACTCAAAGCTATATATTTCATACATATGTTTCAATGTAGCTGCATATTACACCATTAGATACAGGCAAACCTGCTCCCCCCCCCATTTTTACTGTGCTTTTATTTTTCCGTACTTATGCTATGCTTAATTTTCTGTCGCAGTTCTACAATCACATAACTGGCATGAACCAGAAGCAGTCTTGTGCCTCTTCAACTGACCTCCCTTGTGTCAGCATTGATGTCTGTGCAGCCACATGGCAGCGAGAACAGGAAAGAAATCAGGGTGACAACGGACTTGGGGTTCTGTCTTTATTACCAGTGTACGAAAATGGTGGCAGAAATATGGACCATACAGCAAACATCGAGGGAAAGGCCTGCTGCTTGCAGAAGCAGGGCTGACTGAAAAATGTTCAAATACACATGTATGGCACAGACAACCTTCATCATTATTAAAATAGTTGAAGAAACTAGGCTAGATACTATAGTAACTTCATGCAAGTCACTGTAGCTGTATTTAAATTATCCACAGTAAATTGACCAGTTTACAAATCCCAGAAATCAGAATAAGCAAATAAATCTGTAAAATCAAAATTAATAAAACATTTATTATATATACTTCCCATTCATTCACAAAATTCAAAACCCCAAAATAGTTCTCATCTTAAAAAAATAAAAATCTTTTCATTATTAGAAGTTTATACTATGAGAATTTTAAAACAGGTATAGTAGATATAAAGTGGACTAATGAAGTGGATAAACAATCACAAAAAATGCTCAAGCCATAAAGTCAAAGCCTCATAAAAGTTAATATTGAAGTTTAATCAGAAAAAAGACTGGTGTGTAATAAAATAAAAAAGCAAATATTGCATTGGAAATCTGATGCAGTTAAAAGCTACGTTAGCCTAGAAATGTTAAGTGGTATTACGTATCAATTACGGATAACCACTCCTTGGATGTAAGGATTTCCTCTGCATTTTAAGATGCGAAATCCTTTACGTAAGAAGAAAATTAAGTTTATTCATTACAAATAGAAGATTACTAGTACAAAAATGAAATCTGCTTTATTATCTCTCTTTAAACAACAAATAGGCATTTGAAAAAATGTAAAGCTACATATTTCATTTTCCAAACTTAATGTATGCAACATTAAAAAAGGATTTATAATGTTGCTTCTCCTAATCACTATGCTAAAGGGTACAAAGCTAATTAAAAAAAAGGCTTTCAGAGATACCTTTGCAGACACTTAAGTCACAAATAAAAATCTAGGCTTTTTCAGGAAGTATGTTAAGATACCCTGAATCAATAGAGAAAAGTGCTTAATCTAGCGTAACCACTATATTTAATTTTGATGACTAAAGTCAAAAGGATACTATAGGAAACTTAGAAGTAAAAAAAAACAACCCTAAAACAAAAAGCTCTCATCAACTGAAATTACTGTTTGGAATTTTTGAAATTACTTACTTCTCAATGGGCAGGACATGTGGACCAGAAATGGAGTAACGATACAGAAAGGTAAGAAACTTCTTGAAGGCATCAAAGAAAGGCCAGTGAGAGAGCAGACAGATGCATTTGTTTGTTTGAACTGTTCTACATGTGTCTGACTTTCCCTCGACAGCAGCTGCTAATCCTAGTTGAGCTTTTTGTTTCTCTGTGAGATTCTCTTCAGGATACAGTTCATAAAACTGAATAGCAGCACCGTATACCTGCAAACAATATAGTTGATTTGAAGTCAATACATCTGCTTCAATCTTCAAAGCAATCTAACAAACCCCAAACATGCAAGGAAAATCAAGTCTATGTTACTGTTTGAAAAGTTTACATTAATGCACCATCTTTTGAAGTAATCTGTTCCAGAATATTCTTAGGGCTGTGAAAATCCAGACTATTATTTATTTAAAACACTTAATGTCATATGCAAAAGAGTAATTTATGAAACTATTTAAGTGAGAGAAAAATAATGATTATACAGAGTACAACTACAGTCAACTGCAGCTACAATTGCCTTTAAAGCTATTTTAGGAATCCTTTCTAAGCAACTCAAAGCAGTGACATCCAAGTTACTTTTTAGAACAAGTACATACATGCAAGGTTTTTTCCATGCTTGCAAAAAAAATAGTGTACTTGCATGTATATGCAGTCAGAATTTTTATAGCTCTCTAGTTTCAAAGGCTAACATGATTGGAAAGCAAAGGAGTACGGGCTTCTATGATCAACAGTCCAGCAGTGAAATAAATGCAAGTCACTCTTTAAAGAGTCTTTGAATTAACTCCAAATGAATAGATTCAAGTTTGTCTGTGAAAATATGCATTATCATCATCCATGAAAAGATAAACAACCAATTTTTTTAAACTTAAAAACAATTATTTATTTAATTCTTTTTTAAGCTTTCAAAATACCTTTTCTGCAGAAGCTCCAGTTAGTACAAATGTAGAAAAAACTGGGAGGGGGTATTTACTGTTAGACGGCCAACATTCAATCGTTGCACCCATAGGCAGACAAAAAAGAGGCACGGATTCTGGTAATGGGAATGATTCGTAATCTTCTTCAGGATATCTGCATATTAAACCTATAAAGGCAATTTGTAAAAAGGCAGTTATGTAAGGAATAACAGAAACATAATTGTAATAGCTCAGTCCATAAAAACATGCCCAGAAAAATCATATATGAGCATACACTAACTTCAGAGGATCCGTAAAGGAAAGTTGTAAATAATCAGGCACAGCAAATAGCTGCAAAGGGGCAGCATGCTTCCGAGGCCTAAGGAGAAATCACCTGACTAAAACATTGCACTGAAGTCCTACTTACTATTCTAGGAACTATTCATAACGTTTGCCTATTTCGGTTTGCAGGTTGTATGCATCTCAGTATTATTATAATAGTTCACATTCATCGCTAGTATGAGTAAAAATTTAAAATTTAGTTGAAAAAATGGTAACCTGAATAATTGAGAAATAAGACTGATTTTTTTCAATTATGAAAGCAATTACTTCTTGCCAAGAAGAGTTTCCTGAGAAATCTGATAATATGTTAGATAAGGTTTTTTTCTAAAATATCAATAGAATTCAACCAATTAATTATGCCAATCCACCTTAGCTGAGGCTTCAACTAATGTGCTATCAGACTAATGTGGTTAGACTTAATTTTAAACATAGCTGTAAAACATAAAGTTCTGAAGCAGAGGATCTTAACATACAGGTTTTCAGTTACATCATACAGCTGTAGCAATCTATCCTTGCTCACTGCCAGCCCAGGGGACTCCAAACTGAGAATGAATATTGCGTGAAGGAATGTAGGATTTCTCTGCATTGGAGAACACAATCACTACACATTGTTTTCTAATATACAGTGAAATATTAATAAGCAATAAAAACTGGTAATCAAGAAGGGCAGTGGTATTTTTCCCCCCAAGAAGCAAAATTTTGTGGAAGCTACTACCAGATGTGGGGCTTTTTAAAATTTTTATTTATTTACAAATTTATTGCCCACCTTTTAGTTAGTCCTAAACTACTGTTGTTTACAGAGATCAGCATCTCAAAGGGATATAAGTGCATTAAAGCTTATGTCTGAAGCATGCTCAAGACCTGCACTCGAACAAAATCAGGGGTTTAAAAAAAATCCCAAACAACAACACATTTCATCAGAACCACAGCAAATCTAATTCTGTCTCATAAATAAAACAACAAAATAAAGATGATACACAATCCAAAAATACTTTAGGAGCTCAATGCCACTGATGTTCAGGGCAATGTGAAGTCTGCAATATTCTTCAAAATGTTTCTTAAAGACAGTGATTGTGAAAATGCATGAAATAATTTTTGCGATATTGTCTTCTGAATATATATACATATCCCCTTAAGAGACAGTTATCAGCAACAATAACTAGAGGTAGGAGACACACAGATTTGTAGAAACCTTTTAATATAAAGCTGAGCTTCCAATTAAAAGCAAAATTTAAAACAAAAGGGTCATGATACGTAATTCTAAGGCTTATTTTAGGACATTATTTTAAAAGAATTCTTCAGGGAAAGATTCCTTTTTGGATAATGCCAAGACAGTGTCTTTGTCAAATAATTCTTTGATAAAAACATGTATTACATTACAAATAAGCCTGTACATCCCGAACTGAAGATAAAAAAAGCTAAATAGTAGTTACATACCAGCTTTATACGATATGGTGTTGGTTTTTGCCACAGACTTTTTATAACATAAATATACCGCTGAGCCCCACTGTAAAACAAAAGAAATTATTGGATTACATGATGAAGTATAACAAAAGAGTGTAACAGAAAAGAATGGAGGAAAGTCTCCTCTTCCTTGTTTACAAAGAACCATAATTTACAGGTGAAAACATAGAGCATTAAGATACAGGAATTTGGGGCCTGCTACACTATCCTTTCTGACAGTGGCCACAAACATTTAACTGAGAAGTCTGTGTTAGCTCTGAGCTGACCAAGCCATGGCAGGCATCAGCCTGACCTCTAAAACAGAACTGGTTTATAGACTGAAGCACGCAATCTATAAATTCCTCTCTAAAACATCTGCTAACACAAGTACAGAATTTTAAGTACAATTGTCATCTATATAAATATTTATACCTTTCTCCATTTTGTTAAACTTGTGGCTTAAATGTGTATATAGACAGATACACATACATGTACCCATTTATATATATAAACAGGCAGAGAGCACAATGTTTCTGTTATTAACTACATTTGTGTATTACTTTAAGTTAATACTTAACAATTTTCTTTTGTGCCTGCATTTTTATTGTAATCATGCTAATCTTTAAGTCTGATTCCTTATTCCATCTGTGATTTCACAGTCTGTGAAACACTGCAGCATAACGTCACAGTTTTTACAGCTTCTAAACAATGGTTTCCTTTCTGGAATTGTTAATGTTTTTAAATATTTTTGAAGTTCTCAGCTTCTGGACATGAGAATTAAGAACATGGAAAGCAACAGGATTGAAAAGACCAGCACCCTTCAAGGGCACACGAAGGCTTTATAGATGGGAGAAAGATATAACAATTTCCGTAAGACAGCTTTCCCATAACCCAGTCAATGCAAGGACTGGTAGAACTGAAAAATCCATTTGTTAATGTCTACAGGCATTTCTTTAAAAACAAGAACAGATCAATTTCCATGATCGTTTTTTGCATGATACTACTTGCATTTGCAGTCAGCATCCTCATCAGCATGCTGACTTTTGAGGACCCTACAAAAGCCAGCATATAGGGCTGCAGATTCAATGAGGAGACACCTAAATACTAAGTTCTGCAAAACAAAGTGCTGTGACACCTGGGTATTTTAGCAGCTCTAGCTTTGGAACCATATTAAGCATTTAAACAGGCTTCTAGTCAACAGCATCCAACATGACTCATATGCAACTTTCTTCAGAGAAAAAGTTTGTGAAATTACTGAGGAGAATGACACTTATAAAATAGCATTGTTGGTAATGGGAGAGTTTAAAAACAAAATAGAAGGCACTAGTTAAATACAGAATTCCCATCACAACAGTAAAATCAGCATCAGAAACAGCCGTGTCTGTAAAACCTGCAGTTATACACATGGTGACACAACAGGTCCAAAGGACTAATCCGAAGTTGAAGTCAGCATTTCTAAGTCAGCACTAAAAATACTATTTGCTCCAAGACTTCCAAAAAGACTTTGTTCCAAGCAGGAACAACAAAATGTAATCCTCCAACTCTTCCAAGATTTGATTTGTCCTTGGAAAGAGCTTATCAAAATTTTTCACCAGGTACTCTGAGAACTGTCACAAATACTCCACAAACATTACATCACTAAATATCAAGTGTTCAAAATCCAGATTTTGCATCTTACCATACTATTATTAAGATTCTTGTCAACCTTGCAGAATGTATGTGGAGGGGTTTCTCCTTTACTTGGTATGATTATACATATATCCGTAACAGCCAACGTGTTTTGTGTCATGTTTTCAAATGCTCTTCGGTAAGTGACGTACACTCTTTGTGATGAGGCACTGCCACTAATATTAGCAGGCCGACCATATGGAGTAGTTTGAATTATTTCACAACCTTGCTTTACTCTTTCTTTCCCATCATATAAAACCCTAGTTAAAATGGGATGAACAAAAGTCAGAAGGCATATAAAGTTGTTTAAACACTTTGAATACTAATACTATACTAAGAATTACAACTGAATAGTACTAGTTTAACAGCAGCTCTTGTCTCATGTCTGATCGAAACATTTTTACTGATAAGTTCAGGTCATATTATAGCAAACTGCATTCTAACAGAAAAGCTTCATGATAAAACTATATTAGTTTTCCTCACATAAAAGTAATGTGTTTTATTTACTGCAAAACGGTATTATTTTCAATTCTATTAAAGATTCATTGCCTGATCTTAAGAATGTCATACAAGTCACCTCTTTCCAATTAAATAGGTTAAGCATCTTATCTCAACCAGAATATAGACACTGAAAATTGTAAATGGCTTTGAAAACTCCAAAATGCAAAGGATTACAGTTGTCACTAAAATCCACTCAGCATGCATTTTTCCTACCATACTGGGTTACAGTATGCTCAAGACAACAAATACCTTCCTGCTTAGAGTTTTACCTTGTATTTTAAAAAGTATGATATTTCAATAAAGCTGCTTTATTTGCTCATTAGTCAAATAAAACTGCCAAAATCACCTACTGGAACAGAAAAACCACTCACCCGAGATCAGTAAGTGGGGGCTTATCCCTTCCTCGGCGATAACAAAGGAATATTTGTGGTCCCACAAGACTGCCGTTATTGAGATCTGCAGACAGTCCTGAGGGAGTAACATCTATGCATTTATATCCCTGAGGAACTTCCTCCCCCAGAGATTTATTAATTACTGTTACATCTGTAATAGGTTCTTTTGGTTTAGCGATTTTATGGCAAGCATCATTGAAGTGGATTTCTTCCTCTAGTGGTTTTGAAATATCTGTTAATCCTGCGACAACAAAGTAGTCAGCAACACGAGCCCCTTTGTCTTCCATCTTCCATTACAAGATGTTATAACTGGCAAGAAAGAAATACATATCAGTATTTTGGAAGGAAATTATAAGACATTGGAAATAATAAAATTTGGTTTATTTTTAAAAACAGAAAATTTGCAATAATATAAATGAAAACACAACAGAATACAATAGAAAAAGAGATCCATTATCAGATCATATAACATTTTTCATTTGTAATCACAATCTTTCCACTTTGGAATTCTGAGCCACAATCATGAGAGTTAGTTGTTAAATCTTGGAATGGAAAACCTAAGCAGCCTCTTTTTGTTGACTTATACACTAGAGTAGCTGAACCAACAGGAACAGTAACAGCAAAATACTGTGCAAAGTTCTGGAAATAGTTTACTACTAAAAGCTCATGGCTGAGCCAAAAAATAGTTCTCATGTATTTTGCATATAGTCTATTACTGCACTCTGTTCACCGTGACAAGGGATCTCCTAAGGCATGATCTGCAATTAGTTTGCTTTCTGAACACTAAACATATATGCAAAGGCTGTCTTGATTGTTCTAAGGATACAGCTACAATATTTGCAGCCATCTTACCCTATGGGATTTTACATCTGATAGCAAGGCCAGATTTTCTTAGAGTATTTTTGCAGGCTAAAGGTTGATACCACTTTATTTTATAGTGTTTTGGGGCATTTTATTTCATAGCGTTTTGGATCCTCGATATGCAACCCACCCATAGCCAGCAATATACCAGCTTTTATTCAAAACATTTAAAACAAGTCAACTTCAATGCACTACAGACCACTGTGAAACAAAAACATTCAAGACCACATGAAGTTGTTTATAATGAGAAGGAATATAGTCCTGGTGTTCCAGCCAAACTGTGTTGGGAAATTACATTCTTTCTTCCTGGAACGTATTGATAAAAAAATTCTTTACATATGAATTCTTTCTGTATAGGTTTTTTTTTTTTTTTCCCAATGTTTGCTGCTAATGTTGTAAATTAACTTCAGCACAGGACAAAGTAATATCTGTAGGATGAAAAGATGGCCTTGCAAACAATGCAGTGCACTACATATTAGGAGATTCAGTTTACTCTTTGCCAGAGACTCTTGAATACCTTTGCAAGTCACTTAAACCTCATGTCTTACTTAAAAGCTTGATTTTGCAAGTAAAGAAAATATTTTGTGCTCCTGCATGGAACATTGAGAAATGGCCTAAAAAATGTTTATTTAAGTCACTCATATGTGCTGAAATCTTGCTAAAGTAGCTTCAGGAAGTTTACTGTCATCAAGTTCCAAACTTTTTAAACCAGACAAGCTACTTAAGACTCCCTTTTGTTAAATTAATTTTGTTTGGGTGTAAAATTTTATTGCAAGAGAAACTGTTACAACACAGGAGCTTCAAGAGCTTGCTAACATTCAGAAACTCAACAAACAGAATTCAAAACAGCTTGAATGGTTGGTACAAGACTTCGGTTTTCATGCCACCTTTATTCCAGTTGCTTTATCTCCCTTTATTTTTTGCTCTAGGTAGCAAGTATTAAGCCTTATCGAACTTCATACCATCATGATTCTTGCATTTTACCAACAAATCTTCATTAAAACAAGCAAAATAAATGTGGACATCTCTCACTGGTAATTAGGGAAATTATGTCCTAAATTGATATTCTGCATTTAATCAAGTTGTTCCAAGCTGACCTCAGATTTCCAGCACCAGTCCCTGCTCAAGAAGGAAGAATGTCAGCCTGTGCCTGATCACTTCTATCAACCCCATCCACCAGTGCAAGAACGGTAATCCCATCTTCCTTCTCTTATTTTGTAGGTTGGTTGTATTTTGCCGGAGTAACTGACTTGACTAGTTTCTAAAGTCACAAGAAAATGAGTAACAGTTTTTATTTTAAGGTTATTTACATTATTCCAGAAAACACCAAGAAAATCCAGGAAACTATCTAACCTTTATTTCTTTTGATATGGTGAATAAGCACTATGGGACACTTTAGAACATATGATTACTGGGAAACATTGATCAACATATAGCAGCGTAACAGTTTGTAAATGACTGTTCAGCTTGTTTTCTGAGAGGAGAGAGAATGCAGTTACAAAACTAAGCTTAATTTAACCTAAATTCAGTTATTTCAAAAACATCTGGAATATATTATTCAATTAGTAGTATATGAGAGCAATAACTACAAACTCAAACTTCTCCTTGAGTGATATATCCAAAGGCATCCAAATTCAACTGCTGCATACGCCTATTACTTCACTGGATGTCTGGCTTCAGCAAATCCAGAATAGGCTAGCAACAAATACGTGGACAGATAAAGAAGTTTCATAAAGCATCTTTAAACTCTAGCGTAAGACCGAACACTAACATCTTTTAGCTAGCATGACTGAAGTTCTAAATATTTCGTAACATTAACAATTCTCTACAAAACTTAACTACAGTATACTACATTTTAATTGTCATGAAAACTTTCTATCTTCATCAACCAGCACTCACTCTAAACCAATGGATAACGGTAACAGTTATGGATAACTAACAGGTTTTTTTTAAAGCTACAATGCACTGGGCAAGCATTTGCTCTTAAGAAAATAACAAAATATATATTAAAAAAAAAGCAGTTGCTTTTAAAAAGTTGTATCATTTGAAAATGCATCAAGAAATGCAGGGGAAAAAAAAAAGAATACTCCATAATGTAGATCGGAAAAGAGCTATGGTCAAAGACTGCTCAGAAGATAGAGGGGGATATTTATATAAAATCCAAAATATTCCTCAAGAATTGCTGAGGAAGAAAGGACTGGCTAAGTAAAAGCTACCAACCAAGCAATTTAAAGTCAACGCTTACACCATCACCAGCTCTGGTGAAAAAGTTTTCCATTAAAAGACTTGAGAAGAGAGAAGGTGGACTGAAGGCCGGCTAAGTCTTGCACTGTTGTGTATGAAAAATGCTCTGTAACCACAGGCTCAGTACAAAGCAGCAGAAACACTACAAAACTGAACTTTACCTTAAAAATTCCAAGTTAGAAAAATGTTAATTTCTATTTTGTTCTGTTCTTTTTCTCATTAGCATTATTTCACAAAACTACACCAGTTTCTGGAGTGCTTGACAATGTCATTTAAGTTGAAAAGAAAACAGTATTTTAGTAATCAAAAATGATAAAACTATGACTTAAAATTGCAAGCAAGTCTTGTAACTTCAGTGTATTAGCACACTATTCCAGTTTAATTAGCTAAGACAGCATTACAAATACACAGAAAGATCTACATACATTATACTGAAGAATCACTGCTATCTCACAATTTAAGCCTTGCTATGAATTATTTCATATTAAGTTTATACCAAAAGTCTTAAATTGAAACATTCATTTATTCCCAAAAGCACTTTCAAGAAAAACTGGGACAAGCTCTCCTCATTCAGAGTCTGTTAAAATTAGAATCCCCTACATACAAACACCTGCTAGCACACAAATTTGCTTCCTAAGGTTATAACAAGTAATACACAAGTCAGCAAGACTTTCATCATTTAATGCAGCTTTTACAGAAGGGAAGGGGAAAAAAAACCCCAAAAAACCCCAACCTAGCTGATAATGCATGATCCCTTCAGATCTTTGCCTTCTGATACAAAGGCTTGCAGCTAAAAATACGATAAAAAGGCAGAAGATACCAAACAATTCAGTGGCATTTTATTCAAGCCAACTTAGACTTTACTAGAGGTACTGTGATACTCAAATTTTCAACATCTGTATACTGTGAGAGCAGATTTATGCAAACTTTATGGTAACAGACCCCAGAAAGAAGGTATATAATGTGAGCTAACTCAGTGACAAATAATGATTCTGAGAAAAGCAATTTCACATAAACTGACAAATCTGAATAATTTCTGTAGAAACTCTTACCATAAAGGTATTCCGAAGCATGTTAAAATTATATACATCACACAGCACTGCAAGTCAACTTCCAGGAAAAAAAAAAACCACAACAGAAAAAGTCACACTGCACAAGAGCGTTGCTTGAAGCAGCAGGTCCCAGGTGAAGTTCAACAGCATTAATGGTGCCACACCGAGAAGCAGCTAGTATTGCTTCTCCACAGTCATCTGGGGACAAAAGGCTGCGCTCTGAAGACAATGCAATGGGATCATAAACATAACCTCTTACAAAACTCCCTGGAAACAAGTGCAATATACAGTCTGAGCAATCTCATGACGATCATTTTCAATGGACTGCATATAACTAATACCACTAGAAATTAAACACCATGAACATCAATAAGAAAAAAACAAAAACCTTGCAAATAGCAGACTGACCGAATAATGCATTGAAAACACACACAGACTTCACAGATCATGACTATATAAATGTGGCAGAAAAAAGAGTTTTTTGCTATTTCTAAAAAGATGGGAACAAGGGAAACAATCAGATAATCCTGCCACAGATCCACAAACTATGAGCTTGATTACTCTGCTGAAAGACAAAGGGTAAACTCAGTTTCATTGTTTATTCAATTTAAGTTTTTACTATCATCATATTTCTTCATAAACATTTAGGAAATATTAATTAATAATTTTCACTAACTGTCACCACTGTTATAATTCATAGGTGCTGACATAAGAAAGACATCGAGCTGCTGGACCGAGTCCAGAGGAGGGCCACAAAGTTGACCAGAGGGATGGAGCATCCCTCCTATGAGGACAGGCTGAGAGAGTTGGGGTTGTTCAGCCTGGAGAAAAGAAGGCTCCAGGGAGATCTAATTGTGGCTTACCAGTGCCGGAAGGGGCTACAGGAAAGATGGTGAGGGACTGTTTATCAGGGAGTGTAGTGACAGGACAAGGGGGAATGGGTTTAAGCTGGAGGAGGGGTGATTTAGATTAGATGTGAGACAGAAATTCTTTACTGTTAGAGTGGTGAGGCCCTGGCACAGGTTGCCCAGAGAGGCTGTGGATGCCCCATCCCTGGGAGGGCTTAAGACCAGGCTGGATGGGGCTTTGGGCAACCTGGGCTAGTGGAGGGTGTCCCTGCCCATGGCAGGGGGGTTGGAACTAGATGATCTTTAAGGGCC